TTTTTTTTATCACTATAAAGTTATTTTTTATGACAGGTGCCTAATTTGTCACTAAGAGCATTAGTGATAAGGGTTTTACTAACGATTTAAATTTTATCACTAATAATAATTTGTAACGAAAAATAAAGATTTAATTATCAATAATTTAGTCACTAAATGTGGATTTTTTGGTAGTGGTAGATTCACCTTAATTAAGCGAAAGAATGGAAAGGGTAAGGGGACAAAAGAGAAATATGAAAGGGCAATAATTTAGAGAGGAAATAGTGAATGAGAAGAAGGGTAGGGAAAAAGAGACTGCAGAGAGGAGGGATCGGCCGAGGGAAGGTGAAAAGATGGATGGAGGAGGTAAGGAGTAGGGGGGAACTGGGGCCTTTTATCAACTATTGCCGTTCCCCCTGGTTTTTCATGTTAGGGTGTTTGTTTTTAAGGGGAGCGTTTTCGTGAGGAGGTAGGGAGCTCAACATGCTAGTTCATTTAAAACTTTAATTAGAACAACTACAACTCTTAGATATGAGATAAAATACCAAGGACAACTTATTTAACTAATTTGAAACAAATATTTTATGATTCATACTACACAATAAAAATTGTTTGATTAAGTGATAGGTATCCATCACTTACATTTAACCAAAAATTGTGATTTCCTGTTTCATTTTCAAACAATTAATTGGATGGTGCAGCCTGCAAAATAAATTAATTCGATAGCAACTGGATGTAACAAGAAAAAAAATGATAGGAAGTGGCTTAAATGGGGAAGGTATTTTTTGGGACTTCTTTTGTTGCATGATGACTTCATGGATATTTGTACTTTTCCCCCCTTCTCTCTTGATATGTCACTCGGAGTTTACTTTCTTGCTCATTTAAAAATTATTCAAAAAATAAAACCCTATACATTCAAAGAATTAGTTATCTCTCCCATATTTATATATATTTTAAACAAGTTATAAGTTTTTGAGAAAAGAGATTCCAACTCAAATGAAAGGTAGAAGGTACACCATTCAACGTAATTTAGAATCATTTGGCCTAAAAAGTCAAGTATATATTTATAATTTTATTAATCATAGTATTCACAAACAAACACATTATTGTCAATGTCAATGAAATAAGGTGTAAAGTAGAGTTTGTAACAGCAAATTGAAGTTCTCGATTCAATGTTGGAATTATAAAATAAGTATATTGTGTTTTGGAAGAGAATTCACTATCACTTGATCTATTGTTCTTAATCAAATTCTCGGAGATTATGTTAGCTATTTTGGAAATCTCACATTTAGCCCCTAAAATTGTACAATATTTTTTGGACCTTCGACTTTATTAGATTTACAGTTATTTGTTAATTGTTCTTCTATTGGAACCAATTATTGATGCAAGGATTAGATACATGACTTGTAGAAATTATTTTCACCAAAATAACAAGAAAAGGACCCAAAATAACAAGAAAATAACCCAAACTAAAAAGGCTCTGTTTGATATTGTGGTTATCTTTATCTTATCTTTTTTTTTTAATAAAATTTTTGTTGTAAAGAATTTAACAATATTAAATTGAAATTAAAAAAATTTACTTAATAACTTAAAAAAAATTAATTTTAAATAACAATTTAAAAATTTATACTTAATAAGTTGTTAATTATTGTTTTTAATTTTAATTTATTATTATTAATTTTGACAATTTAAATTTTGATAGCAAAAAAATCAAACAAAGACAATGTTACTACCGCTAATGGTTATGGCCATCCAATGAATTTTTGAGGTCATGCAATTTTTATTATTTGTAAATAAACAGTTATAATATTTTAAAATATTGTTGTGTAGATTGATTTTATTTTATTAAATAATAAATATTATTTATTTTACTATTTAGTTCTTTTACTTTAAAATAATTATCATTTTTTACTTTGTCTTTAAATTAAAAATTTAGAGATAATTTATATATTTATCTATATTATTTATTTAAAAAACTAAAAAGTAAAGTGAGATTTTGAGTTGAAGGGAATGGAGGGAAGGGAGCTCCCTCAATTCCCCTCAACTTAGATATATTATTTATGATATGATAATTAATCAAAATAAATGGATAATATAGATTTAGAGTAGAAAAAAATATTTATTTATTTTAAAAAATAAAAAATAATAATTAATTTAAAATAAATTTAAAATTAAAAAACATCAATTATTTTAAAATAAAAAAATGTCAATTAATAATTATAATTATTAATTATTTTTTACTGTTAAATTAAAAAAATTAATATTTTAAAGACAAAATTTAAAAATTTACAAGACCCACCCAACAATTTATTGAGTAAAACAGCAACCTTCACGTTATTTCACGGGCCCTAAATTTTCAACATGTTTGACGTTAACAATCTTTATTCCCTTGTCAACTCAATCAGGTTTAATTGCTTATTGGCTTATGTGATGCAAACCAGGTAACTCAACCAATAACAATGAGCCACGTCAGTATCCGAACCTGGTGTTCGGACCACATCATTTCACGGACCTAACGGTAAATTCACTGCGTGCAAATTTCAGGAACCTCGGAAAAACGGACACACGAAGCACGGATCCCCTGCTTTCCACCGCTAATCCAACTCGTTACGCTTCTCCCTCTATGGAAGATGCAAAAACTGCCGTCCATGGCATTGTCGGTCCACGATTCTTAACGTAAACCCCTCTACACACTCTGCCAATATCCCATTATTGCATTGGTTCATCTTTTCAAATCCCACCTCCCTTAGCCGTTTTTTTCCTCTCTTATGTCTTCCTTGTCCGCACTGTTTTTCAGCATTCCTGCATTTGGGAGGTAACGATCTCTGCAACCTGTTCGACTATGGAGATTTCAATCTGGGTTTCGGTTCTTTCGATTCTTCTTTGCTTTTTCGCATCTGGGTCTGGCTCAATTGACGATTTTCATCGACCGTAAGTCACAACCTTATTATTTTGCTTCTTGGTGGTTTGTGGATTTGAAACCTTATTATTTTGCGTTGACATGCAAGTCACAACCTCTTTTTTGAAGTTTCTGTATCGCTTAGGAGTTTGTTTCTATGCTTTACGCATGGTGCATGGTGTTGAGATCTCTGAGTCACATTGTGTAGTTATCTATCGTTGCTTTTGCCAATTCAGATAAGGTTTTTGAAACTGAGTTAGTATTTCTATTTTAGGTGATATTTTGAAACAGATTGAATTTGAATGGAATTTATCATTTTGCTAGGTACATTAACTTTGAATCATGACCATTAGGCTTACTCGTGAATTTGACAACATAATCCTCGGCTTAGGACATGCTAAAAAGAAGGGGAAAACAGCTTGATTCAAAGTTTAAGAAGCAAAAATTGACTGCTTAGGCATGGATGGATTATTAATCAAAGTGGGTTTACAACTAAAGATTCTATGCTCCTATATGATTTCTATTTGCTGGAGCAGAGCTTTTGTTGCTTTTTCCATGTGGGATGGCAAATGGAAAAGGCAGATGTTAGGTCCCTAGCTCCATTCTGTAGGAATTAGGGTCATGTATTGGAGTTGCTATATTTCTTCTTATTGATAGATTCCTCTGTGAAATTTGAGAAAATTATTAGGTATATGATGTGCAGAAATATGAGCGACAAAACTACCAATTCTAAGTGAAAGTTTAATTTTCAGTAGAATTGGATACTGGCAAATATGATTCCCATCAAATGGTCAGATGTCTTTATGGAACCTTGGTTTGAATTTACTACCAGCCAAGACATTGTAGGAGAGTTCATATGTGTGCCCTTGTATAGATATAGTATCCTCATAGAATATTGTATCTTTTTCTTTATCCAATTTTCTTTTCCTCTCTCTTATTTTCTATACTATTTTCATTTTTATTTATAGGTTTCCTATAGTGGAACCTGATCCAGGTCATACAAAGCTCCGTCTATCAAGTGAAGGGTTGGAAGCCATCAGCAGAATAACAACTCCAATTGCAGCTGTTGCTGTAAGCATGAGCTACTCTTCCTGGATATCTAGTCAAAGAGTTTTATTATTTAACCTAATTTTGGAAACTGGATTATGATTATTATCTAGACTTTATTGTCAATGTGATTTGCAAAATAAAGGCATATTATAAGGTCAGTTGGTTAAAAATAGAATTATATGAAAGAAAGTATATCTGGAGTTTATTTTATTTTTTAGGCTAAAAGGGAGATCTTGAACTTCCTTCAGTCTATGTCTTATAGAATATCTCCATTGGCATTGAATTTAGGAGAATTAGTGCTTGGTGTACTACAATCATCTGTTTGGATAATTCTTAACTCTTGAAATAGTGGGCTAATTTCATGTTTCATAAGTTTCTCTATGATCTTAAGTACACCATTCTATCCTAACATGAGCATGACTAATGTTGTTGCCATAGCACTTGAAAGTTTTATTCACACTTAAGCTTACCTTGAAGAAAAATAAGTTAAGTCCTTTCTATTTCACACTTTTACTCAATTTTGATGGTTGAATAACCAGGTAATTGGTCCATACCGCTCTGGCAAATCTTTTCTGCTTAATCAGCTCCTTTCCCTTTCTTGTTATAAAGGTGCTTTCTTTGCCATCCTTAATTGTTTCATAGGACCTGTTGGTGCCATCAATTTTCTTCTTTGAGTTTAAATGGGTTCAACTGGATGACTTCTTGGTTAAACGTTTTCACTGTTTCTAGGGTTTGGTGTTGGTCACATGCGCGACACAAAAACAAAAGGTGAGACAATGATGGTGCAATTATGTGCAACTGTTGCTTAAATGACTTTTTAATAATTAATTCTGTTTCTTTCAGGGATTTGGGTTTGGGGAACCCCGCTAGAAATGGATATTGATGGAGTGAAAACTTCTGTTTTTTACCTTGATACAGAGGGGTTTGAAAGTGTTGGGAAGTCAAATGTATATGATGACCGGTAATGCCCAGTTATATACTTTTGTTTTTTGTTCATTTCAAATTTTAATTTATCTTACCTTTCTGATTTCTGCTTTTTCAGGATTTTTGCTTTGGCAAGTGTTATGAGTTCTGTACTTATTTATAACCTGCCTGAGACGGTTAGTTTCTTTGCCTACAATTTTGGTACTAAATGTTCTTTCTCTGGAACTTTTTCAAGTTGGGCATTCAAAAAGAACTTGGCTTTTCCATGCCATTGAAGCTAAAATCTTGTGCACATACAAAATTTTGGACATTAACATAGTGTATTTTTTGCTTGTTTTGTTTGTTGATATACAATGCATCTGTGCCATTATCATTCAGATACGCGAAGCTGACATATCCCGGCTGTCATTTGCTACTGAGCTAGCTGAAGAATTTTATGGAAGGTTTACTCTCATGCCATATCTGATTGTGATTCTGCTTATTCATTATGGGGAAAACTCTCTGGGTATTACCTGTTAATCCCTGTTTATTAACATTCTAACTTGTCTCATTGTTTTGCCTGACAAAATATTTCATGGAGAACAGAGTGAAGGTAATTTTTGAGCCAGTATAAACTTCATGTTTTGCTCTGATGAAAGTATTATGCTATTGGGGTTAATGAATGACTGGATTTTTAGGGGCAAGATGTTGCTTTTGAACCTGCAAAACTTTTGTGGCTTATCCAGCGTGATTTTCTGCGTAAGTTCATAACTATCTCCCAAAAATTTGATTTACTAATTGGAGTTCTTTTGTCTTATAAAAATCTTACCCATAACATACGAGCATACATTATGTAGTCTGAAAATGACCTCTTGTATTGCCAACTGTCTTACAGGCCCAGTGGTAAGGGCTTTTAATAGTGTGGCTGCTGGTCCTGGCATCCTGGGTTTAAACGTAGGCAGTGACTTCTACTTCCCCATCCTCTATCCCCCTTCGTGTCTGTATTAATTGCTCTCTTTCAAAAAGAAATGAAAGACTGCTTGTATTGTTTCTGCCAAAAGAAAGACTTTTATGCTATGTTAGACTTGTATTTTAATAATTCTCTTATAGCTGAGCCTTTTTTCCTTCTTTACAAAATGAGGGAGTTGACTGACATTGTTTTTGTCTATACAGAAGGGAAATCTGTGCAAGAGATGGTGGATGAAGCACTTCAACATGTTCCTAATACTGATGGTTAGTTTTCTCCTTTCTTACATTACTGATTAAAAATGAGTTTTATTTAGAGGAAGCTTCATGTTTTGAAATAATGGTTTAATATTTTGTGATTGGTGCAACTCCAGGGGACAAAAATATTGATCAAGTAAACCAGATCCGGGACTCCTTAGCTATAATGGGTAGCAACAGCACGGCATTTAGCTTACCACAAGTATGGGTTAAATATGGTTTCTTGGTTACATAAATATTTCTTTTGATCTTCTCCATTTTGTCATTCTCTGATTATTACTTTGAACATCTAAAACAATACATTAACACTTAGAACTATGCAAAGTATTGTTTTATGGGATGTGGAAATAACATTGTCTTTGTTACAACTTTGTTGTTATTGACTTCTTTGGAGCTTTCTTGTTTTCATGACTCATTATGCTCTGTAGAGGAAGTGAGTGCTGTCATAATAGTCTGGATCAAGGTTCTCTCTTGTCTGATGAGCATTTAATTCATGATACGTTCCTACATTGTTCAGAAGGAAATGTACGGAGCCTTTTTATAGCTTAATTTTGAAATTCATGTGCTCTATATTGTTTTCTTAGATGTTATGTGTTATCCATTGAGGGAAAGTGCACTGGTTTGGCTGGATGGTCTGTCACATACATCATGCTTTAATTATCACATTCTTTAAGCTAATTGCAGTGATTCTTCATCTATCATGGGTGTGGCCTACTTATTTGATGTTAAGTATTTGAAATATTCATTCTAAGTTCTATTTGGGGTAGATAAGACAAACACACTTCCTACTCCTACGTATATGTGCATGGGCTCTAGGTAATTATGATTCATGTGGTTACTCTATGCTCTGCTTTTCCATGTTATTTTTTGGTTAACATTGATCATCAACTTGAGTATCTAATTGCCCATGATCTGAACATGCAGCCTCATCTAATGCGAACAAAGCTTTGTGATATGAATGATGATGAACTTGATCCACTATATGTTAAGAAAAGAGAGCAGTTAAAAGAGCTTGTTGCTAGTGTTATACGTCCAAAGATTGTGCAGGGAAAAACTCTAAATGGAAAGGAGTTTGTATCTTTTCTGGAGCAGGTAAATTTATTTATTTTTTATCTTCTTTATTCCTTCACGTTGTGGTCAGACTCTGGGAATTGTGGAATTTCTTAAATTAATCATTTCTGTAATGGTAATTGTTTTGTCTTTCACAATTCACATGATAGTTCTCACAAGCACATTAATATTTAATCTCTTAGATACTTGAAGCTTTGAATAAAGGGGAAATCCCATCAACAGGCTCCCTTGTGGAGATCTTCAATAAAGGTATTCTTGAGCGGTGTTTGAAGCTATACACTGAGAGGATTGGAAAATTAGGTTTACCACTTTCGGAGGAATCCTTACACAATGCTCATGAAAGATTTCGTGCGGAAGCAATGAAAGCTTTTGATGAACAACATTTTGGCCATCATCATGCACAGAGATCTGTTATGAAACTGGGTGAAGATATAAAAGAGGTATTGACTTAGTGTTTTATTGACATTACCTTTCTTGTTCTTTTTATTAATTATCCATCAAGTGCATACGTTTCTTGGATAACATGGGTATTTGGACCTTTGGTTATACTAATCCCATGGGTACTCGCAAACACCAGTCCACAAGCACCAGTTAAGGCTAGGAATGGCATTCCTACTGGAATTGTTTGCACCCAAATGGCAACAAAGGGATTTGAATCTGCATTTTCATCAAGTGCAAACTCTTTGAGCTGAGCATAAGAATTTCAAAATAGTTTATCTTTTGGTGAGAGAAGACTATGAAGTCTTTAATTCAGCAAAACTATGTGCCAAAAAAAAAAAAAAAATCAGTGCTAACAACTATAAGTTTTCCTTGAGTTCTAAACAGGCCCCCATGGTCCATCCCACCCCCTTTTTTTT